AAAGTATATCTTAAGCTGATCGATGGCTACTGCCATATTTGCAAAATGTGCTTCTGAACCTTGACAAGTGCATGTTTCAGGCTTATCAATTAATGTAATGTAATGTTATCAATTAACAACAGGGGTCACAAACATAAGACCAGCTGTTAAATAAAGCTCTTCTGGCATGTGTGTATATATTAATGCTGCCCATTATGGGCACAAGCAATTTTCACCCATTTATTAATTATATGTTTTAAATTTGAGTGTTTCCTACCCCCTAAACCTCCAGGGATGTACACAGTTTAATACTGGCAACTTCTTATTATGGGAAATACGAAAACGTCTTTTAAAACTACAACTCCCAGTAGAGACGTGCCATAGATAAAGAACATGTTGCGAAACAGAATAGCCAGCATGTGTAGTTCTGGGGACGCGGTGGACCCGTTCAAATCCAGTTTTGGACAGTCTGCCGTGGTTCCATCCCATTTCAAGTGCTGTTCGAGGCTCGGTAACCAGTACTCGAGTTGAGGGGGGATGAGGGGGGATGGCATCCCCCCTGAAATAAAAACGGTAAAAATCATCCCCCTTCTAAAACTGCCATCCCCCCTTTCCATCCCTTATGTAATTTTATCAATGAACGTGGCACTGGTATTACTGCTATTTCAACATTAATTGTGCGCATTTTGAGTAAAATACTGTGAGCGAGGGAGCACGCACACACACAATGACATTTTTACCGAGTCACTGACGCTTGACTATGCGAGTGCCCTAGAGGGCGCCAGAGCGCCGTGATGCGCCTGTTTGATTGATGCCAGAAGCGCAGGTAACGGTCATCATAATGGCCAAGCAACCAGGAGGACAACGCGATCTGAGGGACTTCATATTTAAAAATACTAAAAATAACATTTCAGGTGAGTCAATAATCAGTAATCTTAGTCATTACTCACTACTTTAGTCACCAAAGGTGGAATCTATGGACATAAGCAATAACAACTTAGTTTGGAGTTTAGCTACGTTTTTCTCTCGTGTTAGCTAGCTGGTCAGACTCAAAACTGTTGATGAAATGATACCACCAGCACCAGTAGAGCTGAAACCCCTCCTTCAAGCAGTGAACACTCTGGTCATCTCCACAGCTGAGTGTGAACGTGGGTTTAGTCAGATGAACATTTTAACCACAACTAGAAGCTCCCTGGAGGTAAAAAGCATGTCAGCCTTGCTTTTCATCAAGTGTGTTGTTGGCCCTCCACTGAACAAGTTCAGACCAGAGGTATATGTCAAGACTTGGCTTCAAAGCCATTGCTTAGCTAACAATCCGAAAGCAAGAGCCAGAAAAATTGAGACCAAAAAGCATGATTATGAAAATCTTTGGAAATTTCTATGAGATGGGGGAGAGTGGAGTAGGCAGCCATTGACAACATTTGTCCTATTTTGTATTATCTGTATAATCTTTTAATATATTTTCATATTTCGTAAACAATTTCAATTTGCACTTAATGCCCTGTTCCTAAAAATGTTCATGAAGAATTTACATAATGATTTAATTAATTACGATACAAATGTAACCCTTTAGATACCAGTTTGATCGTATACCAGTAACTGCTTTTTTGAAAAAATACACTATAATTCAATATTCTAAAAACTATTTTGACTTTATTATTAGTATAATCAGTTGATCCATCTGAATAATAAATGAGGGACTGTTAACCTACAAGATTTGTACCATATACTTCATTATAACCACATTTTTGTATTCCCTCCCCCCCTTTAAATTAAAGTGAAAAAAATATTTTGCCCTAATTGTCCTCTGCATTTGACCCTAAATGTTATTCTACTCTAATTCTGAGGTGACTTGGTCAAGAGCAATGAAAGGAGTATCTGAACATCCATAACATGCATGTTGTTTTAGGAGTATAATAATTATCTTTATGCTGGTAGGTCTCCCACCCTCGGCGGGTTATCAGCACAAATTATGTCCCCATATGATAAAATCCACCATCCTCCCTGATTTTTTTTTACAACTTGAGTACTTTCGGTAACCCTCGGAGCACACTCTCCAATCACAGAGCTTGAGGACTATCACGGGGTTTGTCAAACAGAGCACATGGTGTAGTCCAAATGATAGCTGGGGATTCTGGGTAGTGTAGTGTCTTCTGCCATCCTTTACTCCGAAAAAATATTTGTTTCTCCGAATCGAAGGGGAAAAATACAAAAGTATTGCACACAATTTAAACCAATCAATGTTGTGTAATTAACAAGGATAATCTGGTGTTTTTTAGTCGATGAGTAGTGCAGATATCACTGTAAAATCAATCGACAGTAAGGGGAATAGGCCTACTTACTTCCGGGTGTACAATTCTCCGTTATCCAATGAGAATGGACGCTCACATTGCCTTTAAGGGCAGCCGACACAAACGAAAACGTCATTACCAGTAGAAATACATTGCTTTTAAAATCGTGCTGCGCAACACGAAAAAAAGGGAAAAATCGTGTTGGTGAACACGAATCAATAGATTAAAAATCGTGTTGGTGAACACGAAATGCCATGAGACTGGGTCACACACACACACACACACACACACACACACACACACACACACACACACACACACACACACACACACACACACACACACACACACCATTTGTATTGTATTATTGTATGAGAGAGGTTCCAGGTTGAATTGAGGCGAATATTTGTAATGTTCATAGGTTGTTGTGTTTAATATTCATGAGAATATTTGTCATTGTTCAAATGATAATAAACATTAGCATAAAGCATATTTGTCCACTCATATGTTGATAACAGTATTAAAAACTTGAAAAATATTCCTCTAAGGTACATTTAGAACAGATAAAAAATGTGCGATTAATTTGCGATTAATCGCGATTAACTATGGACAATCATGCGATTAATCGCGATTAAATATTTTAATCGACTGACAGCCCTAATATATATATATACATATATATATATATACATATATATGTATGTATATTAGGGCTGTCCCGAATACCATTTTTCGGGCTCCGGATATTCGGTAGTAATCAGCAGCGAATATTCGAATATTCGGTGCGGAGAGATGTTTTTTTTCTTTTAATAAAACAATTTTTTCACATTTTTTTCATAACACGCTCCGAGACACCTGACAACACGCTGTTAGGCAGAAGCGCAGAAAGAGCATAGGCTACTATTACGATTTATATTTATTTATTGTCTCAGTACTCGCATACATTAAAACTAAATGTGTCCTCTGCATTTAACCCAGCCGCAGTGCAGCGCCCGGGGACCAAATCTGGTTCCAAATTCCCTCTATAACGTTTTACAACCTGAAGATACAAAACACATATTTCTGTTATAACAACAATACTTTTAATAACATAGCCGTAACAGTAGGACTAACAGTGTAATACTTGTTACCGATACAGTAAACAGTATTTAAATAAATGAAGAACGAAAAAGAAATGATCGAACTGTATGCCAATAATTGCCTTAGCCCCAGATGTTCCCACATTGCTCTTATTATTTTCACTATTCAGATAAAATTGAAAAACTAATATAAAAAAACAATTCGGTTGCTTGCTTGCAACTATTTTCCAAGCAAAGTAAGTGCACGATTTTACCATGTGTAACGTTACTGTTTAAACGGCGGATAAAGCAGCTTCATCATGGCAACAGCTAAACTAAGCTAGGCTAGTACTTACAGCATCCGGTGACTTTTCAGAGTTGTTGTGCCACCGTGGTAGGCCAGTTTCTTGTCGCATATTTGGCACACTGCCTTCTTCTTACCGTCGTCCAATTTAAAATGGTCCCAGACAGCTGAAGTCTTCTTCATTTTGTGTTCAGGTGTGTGAAACGAGGTGAAGCGTGCCGTTTGCGTTCGTAACTGTGAGTGAACGCGATGTCAGGAGCACAGGCTGAGATTGTATTTATTTCCGCATTTTAACAGTGCAATAGGCTACATGCACAGTCACTTCCGCATTCTACTCATAGCGGCCGATTCATTTCCTGTTTGAAAATGACGACCTTCTACACCCGCTGCCTACAAGAGCTTCCGAAATTAAAAATGTCAGATGTTCATCGGATTTGCCGGACGACTAAAGCCCCAGCCAGCAAACTCGATAAAGGCTTCAAATTATATGCTGCGTCATATATACACAACTATGAAGGTAAGAAGGTAACCGGTACTAACCAGCTAGCTTATGCTCCGGGTTATGCTAACATTAGCTGTCAAAAGCTAGGTAACGCCAGAGCCCTATATAACTACTATTATTATCTGGGTAACGCTATGTACTGTTTCTGGTGTTAATTCTTTAAAACATTAGCCATTTTGCTAACAAATACTATCGTTTAATAGCCTTATAGCCTAGCCAAGGTTGTCTTGTTGTTAGCCACACTGCATAATGGTATCAGCTTTTGTAAAGCAATGTTGCCATAGATGTTTTGACGTGAGTATAGATCTAACGCTGTTGCTCTGTTTTTCTTCATTCAGTGTCCAATAAAGACAGGCTGACAGGGCAGGTCAGCGTGAGAGCCTTGTGCTACAGGTCAATGCGGAAGAGCGAGACAGCACACAGTTTGAGTGTAGGCAGGCAGCATTGACACTGTGTTCCCCCCTGTTTATTGAGTTTCAGTTCAGTTAAACATTAGTTTACCTTAAGGGAATCTCAACAGTGTCCTACTTCTCCCTGCTTTATCATAGCTGATTGGTCAGATATTATTACATTGATTATGGATGTGTACGTTTGGGGGTTCAAATATATAGTCAAAACTGCTTTAATACAATTTTCAAGGCATCTTAGTTTCCAAAGAAAGTTCATTGTGGTATTGTAGGGTAAGAGGGTAACACTAAGCATTCAGGAATACATGCTTCTTCTAGGATAATGGGTCAGTAAAAATAAACAATAATTCTACTCATAATAACCTCCTGGCTCATAGTAACAAGTGAGGTTACTAATCACTAGTATTTCTTCTCTCTTTTTTAGATAACGCTTCGTGATTCATCACTAGTGGTGCTCACGCACAACCAGTGCTCCTGTGTTGCAGGAACTGTTTTGTGCAATCACACAGTAGCATTGCTGTTCCAAACAGCACACTACACTGAACTGAACATGCCAGTTGTGCCACCTGTGCATAGCTGTACTGAATCGGAACAGCAATGGCACAAGCCGCGAACAATGGTAATTTCAATGAGGTTCAAATACTTGTAATCTTTCACAGAGTTTTTGTTTTAAAGTGACTCAACGAACAGTAATTGTCTTTTCCTTAAGGGTGTGAAGCCAGGGCCCATCAACTCCATGGTCTTCACCAAGCCTGTACCAAATAGGATGGTGCAGACTGGAGTAAGGTAATTTTAGCAGGAAAATTGTGTTTCCTGTGTTTTTAAAATTCATAATTCTGGTGCTGTATTCCTAACCTTTATTGTCACATTAATGTGCTATATTGTCTTTGCCATTCTTTGTAGGAGTGGATTCTACATGGTGGGGCCATTACCAGATCCCTGCCTGTTCAGAGTTACGGAGGCATACTCAGCATTCAGCATTGAAGACAGGCCGCTTGTGACCACAATGAACATGAGACCTGACAAGCCCCTTGTGGAAAGTGCCTTCGGGATTGTGCAGGAGGGCAGTGTTCTGTCCTATCAGATGCCTGCTTTGACGTACACCACACTTCACACTGACACACCACCAACACCCCACTTGCCCATAGAGGGGTATGTGATCTTGCCATGTGATTTACCGCTGGTGTGCTCAGAAGAGGAGCAACTACATATGAACAGCTTATCTGTTGATTTGGAAATGTCTCACAAAATTGAGGAGGCTACCCGTGAGCAAAGCTCTAGCTCAGAGTGGCATCTGCTCCGCAAACCCAGGGTTACTGCCTCTAGGTTTAGAGAGATTTGTCACGTCAGAGGTGAGAGCTCTGCTAACTCTCTTGCAGAGCGAATACTCAAAGGTACAAGGCAGACTACAGAAATGAGGAGAGGTGCCGAGATGGAGCCCACAGTAGCAGCTGAATACAGTAGACTGGCAAACGTGAACTACTCCCCTTGTGGCCTTGTCATTCACCCCTCTACGCCCTAGCTTGGTGCCTCCCCTGATGGAGTTGTTTTTGACCCAACAGAATATCCCCAATTTGGCCTTGTTGAATTCAAATGTCCCAATGTCCCAAATTATGTCGACTGCAAATATGTGCAGATGGAATGTGGCTCCCCTAAACTCAAGAAAAGCCATGCCTATTACTGGCAAGTTCAGGGTCAACTTCTTGTATCTGGGATGCAGTGGTGTGATTTTGTAGTGTGGGCACAAGAGGACTACCTGGTGCAAAGAATATACACAGATCTAGAAGTGCAAAGAGCAATCAGAGAAAAAGTAGACTTTTTTTTTTTTTACACATACATACCGAAGTACCTGTCATTAAAAAAGTAGTGGGCACTGTAGCCATTGTTAACTCTGTAAGCAGTTAGCTGCTAGACCCTGGCTCAGCCGTCATTGTTTTTAGGAGGCAATCCCTCAATCATGTGTTCTGAATGACAACAAAATGTGATTTCAATATTTTGTTTTTTATATATATTGTTTGTCAGATTTCATATATGTAAATAAATATACAATTGTATTTAAAAAGACAATAAAGTGAAGTGATTTTTTTGTAATGAATAGTAAATCATTGCATTTGTAAGAAATCATCAACGCATTGTAATTTGCTATTTACCATTTATTCAAACAAAACACTAGCGTGTGTCAGGCAACACGGGATTACGGTGTGCTCACCCAGCTTAATCACAGCTACCTGCACAGGTGTCATCATCTTGTCTTATTTCACCCATTTCTTGACCAGTGCTTTGTTCTGATAGTTTGACAGCATACATGCTACTGCAAACAGTTGGTTGATGTTGTAGGCATGGGACAGGAGGATGACACCATCAAAAAGTTTGTTCTCTTTTATCCTCCTAATGACACGCTCCACATGAACCCTCAGTCTGGCAATGGCCTGTGTCTCCCTCACCTGATAGGCTGGCATTTGCTTCTGCTTTGACAGAAAAGGTGGGCAGTACACCTTGCATTTGCAGCAATCGCTGATCAGGAAGCCCTTATCTACCATCACTGCCATGTTTTCAGTCAACAACGCAGCTATTCCAGACTGTTTGAAAATCTCCTTGTCGCTGACAGAACCACCATACAGACTGGAAACAAATGTCACTGCGCCATGTGGGGCTATGCCAACCAGGGCTTTCATGGTGCAGTGAGATTTGTATGTAGAATACATTTCACTTTGGAGGAGGAGTGAGGATGGTGTTTGACACCTCAGCTCTGTGCAATCCAGGATCACCTGTGTGTCTGGGAAATCTTTGAATGCCTCTGGGAGGTGGGCTTGAACTTCTGCAGGTGTAAGCCAGATGCACTGTGACCCCAATAAAGTTGTAAGAAAACTCGTCCATGTTGCAATGATGCGGCTCACAGTGGACTGGTGTATGTTGAAGCGGTTTGCAAGGTCCCTCTCTTTCAAACCCACCGACAGGAAGCAGAGAAAAAGGAAGAACTCGTCAATTGGCTGAAGCAGCTGTCTCTGGAAGATAAAAACAAAAAAAGGGTACTATATTAATGTCATGAGTGTAGCACACCATGGGAAAAACATTAAGTTGTTTTAGTTCTCCGATGTATTCAAAAAGGATTGAGTACTATAGCCTTTTAGCCTACACGAAAGCAATGAAATGTCGGAGAAACATTTTCCCTTCAGTTTGTGTTTAGATTTTGTGTTAAAAGAAACGTAGCCTACCGTTGATGGACGTGCGTGTGTAACCACTTCTTCATTCCTCTTGGCAGCTGATATCGCTCTTGTAACACGAACCATTTTATAAATGGAAGGCTCAATCAAAAACCAGAAGGCCATCAGGTGGTTATAGCTCGGGAATCTGTACACAAAAGACACATGTCAGTCATTAATTGACTCGTTAACTGTAACACATGGGCTAATGCTTTCCTCTTGTTTGCTATAATACATTACAATTCAAATAGACTGATTAAGAAGGCACTTGGTGCAGGTATAGTAATATACAGCAGTAAAATGTAACAACTACATTAAAGCAGCAGTAATAATAATCTAAAACATACAGGGAACATTTTACACAGAAATGTTGTACTTTTACTTTGGTAAGGTTTCGAAGATTTCCACTTGTAGTAAAGTATTATCAGTATGTTGTTAGTATTAGTATGTTTTACTCCACCACATTTAGTTAACCTTCATAGTTTCTAGTTACTTATGAAAACACATGATTTATGATTCTACATGTTCAGTTCAGGAGTATTTTCAAACCATAGTATTTGTACTTATACTTCAGTTAAGTTGAGTAGCCTACTTATTCCAACACTGCATTCAAATAGTCAGCAGTCAAACGGCAGGTAAACAGGATTCTTTATAAGCTAACCCATCTCAAAAACTTGGATAGAATTTAGCCAAAACATTACCTGGTATAGAATCGGATGTTGTCGTCGGAGCCAGCTGTAAGCAAAACTCTCGCTGGACTCTTAACTCCTGCAGTTGCTTCTGCAGATCCTCCGCTGTTTTGGAGTTGTCTTCTGTAGCTTGAGAGGACATGTCCAGTGAAGCTGGTTCAGGGGTTGAGCAGTAATCATGGTCACGGACATCGATGTGCTCTTCCTGCTCCTCCCGAGAGACTGGTTCAGTGGGCCGCTCCCTTCTCTCCCAAACACTAGCCCGCAGTGTTTGAGCAGTGAAGTGATTCCACTCAAACAGAGTTGGTACAGCACCTTTCACAAGCCTCCTACGGCCATCAAGGGTTTTTGGCTCTATTAGTTGATCCGTAGCGAAGTGACGACTGCAGACCTTGGAGTGAGAGGAGATTGTAAAGTTATCGCGTCGTATTTTAACCAGCCACTGTCTTCGCAGCTCGAGTTCGGTCGGAAAGCCATGGAAACTTAGGACTAGGGATGCACGATATTGGTTTTTTGAAACCGATACCGATAACTTCCTGCTTCTCAAGACCGATACCGATAACCGATAATAAAAAAAAATGTACGCCACTAATTATTTTAACGCGATTAACGCATGTGTATTTTTTTTCCTTGGCCGCCCCGTAGTTTCAGAGCGCATCGAGTTTAAAATACCATCTACAAGCTGATGCTGACAGCCCCGCTCCTGCCGCCCGCTTGTGGCAGACCACACTTCCACGCTCACCGGCAGGCACCGACTGGCCATCTGGAGGACCGGGAGGGTGTGTGTATGTGTGGCCCGAGCGAGCGAGAGAGAGACCTTACGTGCATTGTTGTTGTTAGCATCTGGTGCTAGCTAGCTGCGCTAACGGATATAAGGAGCTGTTTAAATGAAAACAGAGGAGCGACATTTCGCCACAACTGCGCCGAGCACTTGACTTTATGCAGGAAGCCAGACAGTGGGACATTGTACGAAAAGTCAGCACACTCAGCACGGATAGTGCGCAACATGATTGCAGCGTCCAGGCAGCTCCGGTTCGAGCATATGCCTTGAGTTGCACATAGCTCCAACGCCCATACCACCGACGACATGTATGTTTACTGTCCTGGCTTCACGGCCGCACACCATTTACGTCACAGCCAGGCATGAGTTAGGGAGCGCTGGATTTGTGAAGAACTCCCCTCTTCCTATCGGACCGATAATTATCGGGCCGATAATTATCGTGCATCCCTACTTAGGACGCCGTTGAATTTAGCTGACGCCGTACAAAGTGGGACACAGCAGTGCTCGGAGTAGTTCTTTACTTGTCTTTGCAAATGCTCCGTTTTGAAAATCTTCCTTCGACTCATATTTAAACCACAGATTTAAACAGTAAAACATTTGTGGACGCTCAGCTACGCGGACCAGAAGCAAACCGGAAGCTTCCGAGCAGTATAACGGCTAAGGCGGAAGTACGTCTCAGACCCTAGTGCATGTAGCCTATTCAAAAGTATAAATATAGTATAAGAATATGGCAATTCTATGGAAGCCTGTTTGCGCCACAGGAAAAAAAAAAAAATCCTGTAAGTCATTATAATGACTTAGCTATCTCATTATAATGACTTAGCTATCTCATTATAATGACTTACTATCTCATTATAATGACTTACTATCTCATTATAATGACTTACTATCTCATTATAATGACTTAATATCTCATTATAATTACTTACTATCTCATTATAATGACTTAGCTATCTCATTATAATGACTTACTATCTCATTATAATGACTTAGCTATCTCATTATAATGACTTACTATCTCATTATTATTATTATTTGTTTGTGACTGTAGCTGTACCCACTGGATTGTTTCTGAGTGTTTTCCGGACATAAAACACTTAAACACAGCAACATGTATACTGTACTATCACTGAAGCCACAAGAAACTCAGCTTTATTTCAAACATCAGCCAATTATAGATCATTTAAAAAAGGATTTTATCATCTGCAGATGAGCGCGAGTAAAATTAAATATTGTAATTAATTACCGCCGTTAACGCGATAATCTTGACAGCATTAATACATATATATATATATATATATGTATATACATACATACACATATATATATATATATACAGTGCAATAATTCTTTCATGCTAAATGAAGCTCTGTTGCTTGGATATCATATCACTAGTGTCACAATCTTAAGGAGAACCCAAATGCAGCACTCGAGAAACCAAGGAGAATTGGTAATAAACTTTATTGGAGATTCCACTGGATCTGAGGGATACCAACCGAGCAGTTTAACGCACCGGAGGACAGCAGGCAGAAGGTGAGTCAGGGACAGGCAGAGAGTCAGGGAGTAAGCGAGGCGGTCAGCGTAGATACAGGCAGGGTCGGATAACAGGCCAGACAGGATAGTCGAGGGACAGGCAGGATCAGGGAACAGGCAGAGCAGGCAGATCGAGGACAGGCAGGGTCAGAACCGGGTAGGCAATCTAGTTTCAAACGCGGGAAAGACAAGCATGAGGCAAAGTACAATCTGGCAAAGAGTGTGTGTAAGGTGCGGGTTTAAATACTGGCAGAAGCTAATGGGTGCAGAAGAGAAAGAGAGTGAGCTAACGAGTGGGTGTGGAAAACAGGTGAGACAGGTGAATGGAAAACTACTGGTGAATGATGGAGCAGACTATGACAGAACCCCCCCCTTAATGGATGGCTCCTGACGTCCCTAAATGCTAATCTACAGAGGAGGGTGGGAGGTGGGATTAATACTCATCTGAAAAAGTTCTTTCGGCCTCCCTCTCCTGCCCCCTGTCGGAATCTGTGTCCTCATCAGAAGCCGGCCCCTCGCTGTCCTCCTCTGAAGAGCTGACGGTAAGAGGAGAGATTCTCCCTGTGTCTCTGCCCGTCTACGTGACGGTCTTAGACGGTTGCTCGGGATTACGCCGATGGAACTCCCTGATGAGCCGGGGGTCCAACACATGACGAGCTGGAACCCAAGCCCTCTCCTCAGGGCCGTAACCCTTCCAGTCCACCAGGTACTGGACTCCTCTTCCTCTGCGACGGGAACGAAGAAGTCGTCGGAGAGTGTACGTAGGCCCGCCGTCAATCATCCGGGGCGGTGGTGGGGGAGGGACCGCAGGAACCAAGGCACTCTCTCGCACAGGTTTGATCCTGGAAACGTGGAAGGTGGGATGGATCCGCAGAGTCCGAGGCAGTCTTAGCCTTACTGCTGCGGGATTAATTATCCTGACAATCTCAAAAGGTCCAATGAATCTAGGTGCAAGCTTCTTCGAATCCACCCGTAAAGGAATATCCCGGGAGGAAAGCCATACCTTTTGGCCCACCTGGTAGACAGGTGCTTTGGAACGTCGGCGGTTGGCAGAGGAGGCGTACCGGTTGGCCGAACAAACGAGAGTTCTCCGGGCTTGATTCCAGGTCCGTCGACAACGACGGATGAAAGCCTGGACGGACGGACAGGTAACCTCCCTCTCCAGGGCTGGAAACAGAGGGGGTTGAAACCCGTAAGCACACTGAAATGGGGACAGCTTGGTGGCCGAACTGACCAGAGTGTTGTGGGCGTACTCGACCCAGAGCAGTTGTTTAGCCCAGGCCGCTGGGTTCTTGGAGACTATACAGCGTAAGGTCGTCTCCATCTCCTGGTTCTTTCTTTCTGTCTGACCGTTGGATTGCGGATGGAAACCGGATGACAGACTGACCGTGGCCCCAAGGAGCGTGCAGAATTCCTTCCAGAACACTGAGGTAAATTGAGGACCACGATCGGAAACCACATCAGTAGGCAGCCCATGGAGCCGGAACACATGGAGCAGGACCAGCCCCGCCGTCTCTTTACCTGAGGGGAGCTTGGGTATCGGCACAAAATGAGCCATCTTACTGAATCGGTCTACCACCGTCAAGATGGCAGTGTGTCCGTTGGACGGTGGCAGACCAGTAACAAAGTCCAGAGAAATGTGAGACCAGGGGCGATGAGGGTGAGAAGACTTGTTTTGATTGCAAACAGGGCAGGCATTAACAAATTCCCTGGTGTCCTCCTTAAGTGTTGCCCACCAGAACTTTTGCTGGACTACCTCCCATGTACGTTGGATCCCAGGATGGCAGGTGAGTCTGGAGTTATGAGCCAACTGGATAACATCAGACCTCAACGTCTGCGGAACGAACAGGCGGTTCGGAGGACAGGCACTGGGTCCCGGCTGGTCCTGCTGGGCGGCCTTGACCCTCTCCTCCACCTCCCAGATGAGGGCGGCGATGAGCTGAGGAGTCGGAAGGATGGTGTCCAAGCCCCTGGGAATGTTACCTCCCTCTCCAAACTGACGAGAAAGAGCGTCAGCCTTAATGTTCCGAGAACCAGGGCGGTAGGAGAGGGAGAAATTGAACCGAGTGAAGAAAAGGGCCCATCTAGCCTGTCGGGAATTCAGTCTGCGGGCCGACCGGATGTACTCCAAATTCTTGTGGTCGGTCCACACCAGGAAAGGTTGACTGGTCCCCTCGAGCCAGTGACGCCACTCCTCCAGAGCCAACATCACTGCTAGCAGCTCCCGGTTTCCCACATCATAATTTATTTCCGCTGGAGTCAAACGCCTTGAAAAGAAAGCACAGGGATGGAGTTTTTGGCTGTTCATTGCTCGCTGAGACAGGATGGCTCCCACCCCCATATCAGAAGCATCCACCTCCAAAACAAACTGTCTTACAGGATCGGGTACTCGGAGGATGGGGGCGGAGGTGAACCTGGCCTTAAGGTTCTGGAACGCCTCCTCAGCCGAGGAGGACCACTGGAACATAACCTTAGAGGAGGTCAGGGCTGTGAGAGGAGCGGCCAAGGTACTGTATCCACGAATGAACCTCCGGTAGAAGTTGGCGAACCCGAGGAACTGTTGTAGCCGCTTCCGGGATTCTGGAACCGGCCAGGAAGTGACTGCATCAACCTTGGAAGGATCCATCTCGATGCTCCCCTGTCCCACGATGTATCCCAGAAAAGAGACAGAGGATGTGTGAAACTCGCACTTCTCCGTTTTAACAAACAGCGAGTTCTCGAGCAATCTCCTGAGAACCGCCTGGACGTGGTGCACGACACGTGTTCTTTCAGCGTCTTGGAAAAGATCAGGATGTCATCCAAGTAAACAAACACGTGTCGGTCCAACATGTCTCGGAGCACGTCATTTACCAACGCCTGGAATACTGCAGGGGCGTTGGTAAGCCCAAAAGGCATGACTAGGTACTCGTAGTGCCCCGAGGTGGTGTTGAAGGCTGTCTTCCACTCATCCCCCTCGCGAATACGTACCAAGTGGTACGCGTTACGCAAGTCCAGCTTTGTGAATATGGTTGCTCCCTGCAGCAACTCGAATGCAGAAGAGATAAGAGGCAGTGGGTATCGATTCTTGATCGTAATGTCATTAAGACCCCGAAAGTCGATACAGGGTCTTAGGGTCTTGTCCTTCTTCTCTACAAAGAAGAACCCTGCACCAGCAGGTGATGAGGACGGG